TAGGCTTTCTCAATGAATTGAATATAAACGGTAAAAGAGAGTAAGGAGTTCAGGATGATACCTAAATTATCAGTCTGGGAGAAATGAGAGAGTAGGATGGTGGTACCCTTGACAGTAACAGGGAAATTTGGAGAGGAGGAGGGGCAGGTTTAGCAGAAAGATAATGAGTTCGATTTTGGATATGCTGAGTTTAAGAAATCTATAGGACATCCAGTTTGAGATGTCTGAAAGGTTAGGGCTGGACAAATAAATCTGAGAATATCTGCATAAAGAAACCACAGGAGCTGATGAGATCACTGAGTGAAATAGTAGAGGGAGAAGAAAAGATGGCCACAGTTAATGGTCATGACCTGGATGAAGATCTAGCAAAGGAGAGGGAAGAGGAGGAATCAGAGAGGTAAGAGAAGAACCAGGATACAATGGGATTACAAAAATCTAGAAGAGAGAATTTCAAGGAGAAAATGGTCAACAGTGTCAAAGTCTGAAGAGAGATCAAGAGGGATGATGATTGCCTGGGTAGCACCCCCCTCCCCAATCAGATTTGGCATTTAAGAGATCATTAGAGCTAAAAGAGAATACGAGGAAAGGCATTGGAGGCACCTATTATAGAAGGGCCTTCTCAAGGAGTTTAGCCAGAAAAGGTAGAAAAGATACAGGATGACAGTTAGCAGGCAAGGACAGATCAAGGAAGGTTTTTCTGAGGAAAAGGGAGACAGGGACATGTTTGTAGACAGCAGGAAGTAGCCAGTAGAGATGGAAAAAAATGAAACAGAGATGGAAAAAAGGAAGGTAAAGTGAGAGAGGGAGCAATCTGGGGTAATCTGCTGGAGAAGACAGGGTAAATAGATTCATTTGTGTACATTAAGGAGTTTGCCTTGACAAGAAAGGACAATTACCTCCTTATGTGAGAGAAGTAAAAGAGAAGAAAGTGGTGGAAGGCATTTTAGTCATGTAAGATGCAGAGGAAAGGAGAAAGTGGGCACTCTCAGCAAATGGCCTCAATTTTTAAAATAAAATATGAGGTGAAGTTCTCAGCTGAGAGGGTAGGTAGTGTCTGGTTGTTTCAAGTGAATGAAAAAATTTAGAAAAGCCACTGTGTTTAGGGGGATAGCGAATTAATTAGGGAGGTATAAAGGATTGCCTAGCCCCTAGGGGCCCAGTTGAGATTATGTGACATATAGTGGTAGTGGAACCAATCAGCACTGTTTTGTGATTTTCTTCAGGTTTGTTTAGCAGTGTATGTGTATAGAAGCAAAAGATACTTGATGGTAGGAGAGCTCCAATGCTGTGGCTTGACAAGGCAAGATCAGGAGTATGATAATGGGGCAAGAGACTTAAGAATAGAGGAGCATATAGATCTGAACTGGTTCACTAAGTGGTCAAGCTGGAAGAGGGTGTAGTCAGTGTAAGGGGAATGGTCTCAGAAAGAACTGAGGGACTGGAGGTCACAATGTAGATGAAGAATAGACTCTGGACTTGGAAGGCAGAGATGGAGAGATGTGATCAGATAATAGGTTAATAGACTGTGATCAGATAAGGGAATTTCAGAGTTTATTAACATGGAAGTAGTGTATTTTATGGGAGATGGCAAGATCAAAGGTATGCCCATCTTTGTGTGTGATTGAGATAGGGTGGAAAAGTAGGTTGTCTTGCATCTGGGTACAAAAAAAATCAACTTCACAAGTATAAGATGTGAAAAGCATGCACAGAAGTTATTCTAAAAAAGATCTAGAAGTTTCAGTGAACCACAAGCTCATCATGAATAATGGGATACAGCTGCTGAAAAAAGTAATGCAATCTTGGGTTACACCGACAGGCCTGACTTTCAAGAACAGGGAGTATTGTGATAGTACTATTGCACTCTGCCCTTGTCAGACCTCATGTGGAGTGCTATATTCAGTTTTGGGCAACAAATTTAAGAAAATCATTGGTAATCTGAAAAGTGTTCAACAAAAGAACAAGTAGGATGGTGAAAGGTCTTGAGTTCATGACAATATCAAGGCTGATTGAAGGAACTGAGTATAATTAGTCAGGAGGAGAGAAGGCCCAGAGAGAATATTACAGTTATCTTCAAATATCTAAAGCGCTATCACATGGAGGAGGGATTACATATGTTCTTTTTGGCACCAGAGGGCAGAATCAGGAGCAATGGGTGGACACTTCAAAGAAGCAAATGTAGGCTTGATGTTAGCAAAAATCTCCAAGCAATTCAAGCTATACAAAAATGGAATGGGCTGCCTTGAGATTCATAGGTTTTCTCTCCTTGAAGGTCTTCAAGAAGTATGTGATTCTCTGGGAAAATATCTAAAACGTAAGTGAGAACAAAGCAGATTACTGCCTACTTTTGGTGATTCATAATTCACGAGGGCAAAAGTGATACTTCTAAAAGGGGTGTAAAAAATTACAAAGCCTTATGAAATAAATCGAAAAATATAGGGACAAAGATTGCTTTATTCTTACTAATGTCCACTGAAGGCAAGAGATGTAGAAATAAAAACTGATTTAGAAAGTGACCAGCTGACTAATGAGGGTATCTAAAAACGAAATCTGGACTTCTGCACCACAGCTTAGAATACAGGGATGACAGACTCCTTGCCAGGTTTGGAGCATAGCTAACACAGCCTGGTGATGATGCATTTTCCTGGTATCTTTCCAAACCAATAAAAATGGCCTTAAACTAAAAAGAGTAGGGGAAGAAAAACTGCCTATGTATATCTACCAAGCTAGGCAGCATATAGTATATACAATTAATAGAAGGAGGAAGTACTTGAGATACTCAAAAGCCTCACAGGGAACAGAATCCAAAAAAGGATAAAAAGCCAGTAGTAAAACTCATGGCTTCAAACGTTTATACACAGAAACCCAAGGTTTAGAAAACAAGCTGGGAAGGACTAGACATACAAAATCAGGTAGGCGAATTTGACCTCCTAATTATTAACACTTGGTAAGATGAATATCTTGAATGAAACAGTGCTCTACATGGGCATACCTTATACAAAAGAAGCAGGATAGATAAAGGGTAACAGAGTGGTGGAGGATGGTATACTCATATCAGGAAATTGAGGAACAGGGTGGGGGTGGGGAATAGAAAATATTTAAGTAAAGACCAACAACAAGAAAAACAAGTGAATTTTGAAAATACAAAGGAAACAATTTTGATGAAAGGAAAAAGCTATGGTATCTGATGTGGAACTCATCAATTAACTTTAATGAATTCACTGAGGGCACCTAGATGCTCTCTTACTACCTTTATAATCCTAGGTCCATGACATCATAGATTTAGAGCTAGAAAGGATCTTAGAGGTCATTAAATCCAACATCACCACCCCTCATCCAAGTTCTCTGGCTAAGATGAACTACATTTTCAAGCACCTAAAAGACCTGGCAGACATGACTACTAAGGTATTAAAAGAAATGGTTGTTAAGGTACTGCCATCAACATTTGAAGAATCATGGAATGACTTCATATGTATAAGAAGTATCATATTTCTTACCATCTCAATGGTGAGGGAGAGAGTAGAAGGAGGGAAAATTTGTAACTGAAAATGAAAATTTAAAAATAAAATTTAAATTTTCTGAAGGAAAAATCATGGAAAATGGGAAAGGAACTGCAGGATTGGTAGCCAAAAAGTCATAAATTTAAAACAAAAAAAAAGGAAGTTGACAGTCTGCAAACTACATGACAGTGAGTATGAGCTTGATTCCTAAGAATATCCTAGAGTGGATGGTTACTTACTGAGCATTTCATATCAGTGTCTTGCTTTTCTATTTGTATTCCCAGTGCTCAGCACAGTGCTTTGTAAACAGTTAAGTACGTAAATGCTTTTTCTTTCATTCATTCAATTAGAGGCAGTGTGGCACTGTGGAACAGGCCTGGAAGTCAGGAAGATCTAGGTTCAAATCCTGCTTCTAACACAAACTAGATGGCATCCTGGGCAAGTCACCTAATCTCTCAGTGGTCTAGGAAGCTCTTTTAGACTCTAAGTTGCAAAAGTGGTTAACCTGAATTAGTACAAACAGCTTCCTTTCCCAGACGCTCCTTATACCAGTGAAATCACAGGCCCAGCCCCTATGCTTATTCCCAGTGAGTATCTAATAGAGGAAGTGGTGATTACAAAGAGGCAGCATGACTTCATTAAGGACAGGTCACATCAGACTAGCTTTATTTTACTTTTTGACAGGGAAACTAAAATGACCGATCAGAAGAATGCTTCATAGATACGGTTTACCTAATTTTAGCAAAGTATCTAATACAATTCTAGTGGAAAAGATAGAGAGATGGATTAAAAACTGGCTGGATACTTAAAGATTAAACAACATCAAATTGGCAGAAGTTCAAGGGTCAGATAAAATCTCCAGAGATATCTGTTGGAACTTGAGCTGATTAAAATTTTTATTAATGATGTGGATAAAGACAGAGCCAGCATGCTCATCAAATCTGCATATGACACAAAGCAGGGATGGACAGCTAGCACACTTAAGGCTAAAGGTCAGGATCCAAGACAAGCTAGAGCACCGAGTTTAATTAAAATTAAACTTAATAGAGATAAACATAAAGTTTTACCCTTGAATTCAAAAGATCTATTTCATAAGTATAAGATAGGGAAGCATTAAGTGTCTCAAAAAAAGATCTGTGGTTTTAGTGGATTATAAACTTACTAAGAAGTAGAAGCTAAAAAATATAATTATGATCTTGATTTCATTACAAGCACAATGTCTAAGAATAAGTTGGTAGGAACCCTTACTGGTTCTCCAGCTCATTTAACAGATGAGAAAATGAGTGGTGTTTAATACACGGTTATTTGCTGATTGATTGATTGGTGGATTCCCCCTCATCTCATGCCTACAAGCAGAGGCTGAATGAGAATGTATGAAGTATGTTATAGTGGAGATTTCATGTCAGTACACATTTATATGGGCAATGAAATCCAAATACTTTTGAACTCTCATGATTAAAATATTGTAATTTACATATTCCTTTACGATGTTCTCTTACTTACGTTTTAAGGGTTCCAGATGTCATAAGTTCAGTCACCAGAACAATACATTTCTTTCCCTTTACAGTAGACTCCCAAGAATCATAGAAACGAACAATATTTGGGTGTTGAAGGCCCTTCAACATTTCAGCCTCCTCTTTAAATCTTTGCCGTTCTGACTTTGTCAACTTTCTATCCTGAAAATTAAATAAATAAAATGTGGTTAAAGTGAATTGTGATTTCAATTTCTAAGCTAACCATGGTATTAAATCTTAGTAATGAAAAACCACTTCAAATAGAAAAGGACAATATAACTCATCCAGAATATTTTTACTACAAGGGTTTGTCTCTGTTAGAGGGTATTTTGTTAGTAAAAACTGAATAAAAGTGTCAATTCATATCAACCCAAATATTTTCTTTTATGATCTTTTAAAGATTTCTGAAACCAAAGCCTTATAGCTTATTTTCACTCCAAATTAAGTGAACATGACCAATACCCCCTCAAAAAAAAAAAAGGAAAAGGAAAAAAAGAGCACAGACGATTCTTTTTCCAAGCACCCAAAATGCTCAGAATTCATCAATTTACTCTTCTTCCCTTTGCAAGCCAAAAGTATCCAAGTAAAATGAACTCATGACTACTTTTAATTTTTTCCATTTCAAACATTTATTGTCTAGTATGTACATCTGTGTTTACATAAAAATGTTGTGTGAAATACATATAACGCTTTAAAAAATTAATTCCACCAGGAAATCTACCTAGTTTGCACAGAAATATTTAAGGATTATTTTAATAAAGGAGAAAGGAAGAATTAGCTAAATGGTAATTTAGATTTTTCTTAATATCTGTGATCAGATAATTCAATATCAGTAGGCATTTCCTATATTAGCTGACAATAAACAAACATTTATACCTATCATATCCCAGGCACTTAATCAGCCACACAATATACAAAGACAAAAATAAAACAGTCCCTACGATCAAGGAATTTACACACTATTGGGGAAAAAAAAATGTGCACCAAGCAAGGACATAATAAAATATGGAAGAACTGAAAGGTTCAAGGTCAGTATAGTGAAAGGTAATCTGAAAAAGCCTCATGCAGAAGATGGTATTTGAATTTTCAAAGAAAACTCAAGATTCTAAGGGGCCAGAGTACATTACAGTGATAGGGAGGTGAGATGGGAGACAGCCTATACAAAAGCATGGAGATGGGGAAATATAATGTCATGTGTAAGGTATATATAACAAGTAGGCTAGTCACAGTTTGGCTAGCCTGTAAAATGTGTGAAGGGTTAAAAAGCGTATTCAAACAGGAAAGGTAGGCTGGGGTCAGATTGTGATGGGTTTTAAATGTCCAAGGGAAGAGTCTGAATTTGATTCCAGAAACAACAGAGAGCCACTAGAGCTTTCTGAGCAAAGGAAGTGAGTGCAAGACAAGTTCTTTAGGAATGTTACTTCAATAGTTTGTATAGATGACATATGAGAGAGAAGAAAGACTTCAGGCAAGGTGACCAATTTGAGGCTACTGTACTAGTGCAGGTTAGAAGTTATAAGGATGAGTCAGGACAATGGCTGCATGAATAAAGAGAAATAGATGAATATGAAAGATTGTGTGGAGGTAGAATTGATGAAACTTGGCAAGTGACTGGACACACTAATGAGGAAGGTTTAAAGGAGTTGAGTATAATAACACTGATGTTGTGAATCTAAGTAACTAGGAAAATGGTAGTATCCGTGGAAGAAATAAGGAAATTCAGAAGAGTAGATTTAGGGGGAAAGATAATGAGTTCTGCTTTGGACAAGCTGAGTTTGACATATCTCTTCAACATCCATTTTGAAATGCCTAATGTATCATGTATGACCGGAGTTCAAGAGACCGATTAGGGCATTTGGCAGCCATTTGTATAAAGATGAAAATTAAGCCTGTGAGAACTGATAAGATCACCAAGAAAGAATACAGAGAGTGAAGAAGAACCAGGATAGAGCCTTGGGGGACATAAACATGAAAAAGTAGGAGAACATAATTAGGAAAAATGGAAAATAATACCTAACAACAGAAACAATAATGAAAGTAACAAAATAACTGCAGTTAAACAAAGATCAACAGCTGACAAAAATAAGATGAAAAAAATCATACATATGCAGAGCAGAACAATCAATTTGAAAGAAATAGAAATCTCAGTTACTTTTGAAGACACTGAATAATAAATAATAATAAAGACATTGTGCTTAATACCTAGTTAGAGAAAATACTATAGAGTAAAAGAGTCAATATTCCTCAAGTGGAGTGGGGTCAAAAGACTCCAACCAGCATGGAGAAATGCCAAATATTTTAAGAAAAAAAAATTAATCTAAAAAATTCTAAGGCATAAAATTGCTAAATTTGAGAATTATAAAGAAAAAAAATTCTCCACTGTGAAAGAATAAAGAAGTTACATACGAAAATAAAGGATAGGCTTTTAGCTTATTACTACTGATAGTTATTTTTTTAAAAAAGGTATAAAGTTAGAAATAGACTGTGGTTTTATAATGACCAGATTATGTGTATACACACACACACACACACACACACACAAATAAAAAGGTGTTTAAACACATGAGAAACTATAGTCAGAGGTAGGGGAAGGTGAAGGCCAGTCAGGCAATAAACATTTCTCAAGCATCTATTATGTCCCAGGCACTGTGCTAAATTCAAGGGATACAAAGAAAGGTTAAAAGATAGTTCTTGCTCTCCAAGAGCTCATAACCTCATGGGAAGGGAAAGGATTAGGCTAGCCCAAGAACAAAACTATTTTTTAAAAAGAGAATAGGACACCAAAAAAAAAAAAAGGATAGGAGTAGGGTCAAAACTTTAGGGAATAAGAATTGATAGTTTAAAATTTATTAATTTAATTTATTTTTAATAGAAATAACATGTAGAAAACTGTTAAGAGATTGGTCTAGAACATCATAAGTAATTTTATATTATTTTTACAATAATTTTTTCTTGTTTTTTCACAATACCAGAATTTTTTTCTAATATCCTTCTCCCAAATAAGATTATTTCTCTCCTCCCACATAATAAATGATATCTTTAAAAAATATAAGAGAAGAAAATTAACAAAATTTATCAAAATATACGTAATTTTCCTCACCTGTGGAACTACCACTTCTACAAAAAAGCAGGAAGTCAGGGGTGGGGGCTTTTCATATCTCTCCTTTAAAGACATGATTGTTCTTTATAATTTTGTTACCATCACTTTTTTTTTTTTGCGGGGTTGGGGGAATGGTTGCTCTTTCCATTCACATTGTTGTAGTCACTGTACATATTGTTTCCTTGATTCTGCTTATTTTATTCTGCATTATTTAAATCTTTCTGTGCTTCTCTATATTCATCATATGCATTGTTTCTTACAGCACAATAACATACATACACCACAATTTATTTAGCCTTTCTCCAATTGTTTTCAATTCTTTGATATTGTGCTATAAATATTTTGGTATATATAGGAAGTTCCTTACTTACCTTACTCCTTGGGGTTTAAGTCTAACTAGTAATAACATCTCTAGGTCAAAAGGCATGGATATTTTAGTCATTTAACTTAGCCTAACTCTATGCTTTTCAGAATGGCTGTATTGATTCAGTGCTCCACCAGCAATGCACTAGTATGTTTATTTTCCCAGAACCCCTTCAACATTGAAAACACCCATCTATTGTCATTTTTGCCAATTTGCAGGGTTTGAGGTGAAAATTAAGGGTTGTATTATTTTGCATATCTCTTATTATTAGTTATTTGGAGCAATCTTTCACATGGTTATTAATAGTTTGCAATTATTCTTTTGAAAACTTTTGTTCATGCCCCTTCCACTATCTATTCTATTGAGGAAAAGATATCTGTTAGTTATCTATATTTCTTGGAAATCAAACCCTTATCTAAGAAATTTGATAGAGATTTTCTCCCTTAACAACCACTTCCCATCTTGTCCTAGGATGTATTAGTTCTGTTTATTCAGAAGCTTTTCAGTATAATTTAAATCAGAACATACTGAAGGAAACAGGTAAGTTCATTACATAACAGTGAAAGGAGTAATGAACAATAAATATTGAACAATTCTTCACTTAACATGCACCAAACAATTCAACAGTTAAATTCACTAAAGAAAGCTTCTCTACAAAAAGCAGACAAAAAAACAGTAACAGCATGGAACTTACATTCCATGGACATAACCTTCAAGAACCCAGGGTCACCTCTACCGCCCAACAAGGCATTAATCAATCAATATTTATTAAGCACCTCCTATGTACCAGGCATTATGCTAAGTTTTAGGGATTTAAAAAAGAGGCAAAAGACAGACCCCTGCCCTCAAGGAACTTACAATCTGATAGGGGATACAAACAAATGGATAAGTGAGTTATATATAGGATAAATAAAAAATAATTAAAAGAGGGAAGGCACTGGAATTAAGAAGAGTTGAAGAAGGCGGTGTGATTAGCCCTGTGCTTTAAGAAAATCACTTTAGTAGCTGAATAAAGGATGGATGGGGGGGAGGAGGGTTGGGGAAGAGGCAAGACAGGCAAACCTGCCTGCAGGCTATTGCAGTAACCAAAGGGTGAGGTGATGAAGGCCTATTAAGAGTGGGGAGCCACTAGAACGGTGGGGCACTAGAGCAGTGGCAGTATCTTGAGAGAAGGAAGGGGGCATATTAGAGAGATGTTGCAAAGGTGAAATTGGCAGGCCTTGGCAACAGCTTGGGTGAGGACACCAGGCTGCAACCCTGGAGAATTGGGAGGATGGTGTTGCCCTCTACAGTAACAGGGTAGGGGGTGGGGGGCTTAGGGCAAAGATAATGAGCTCCATTTTGGACATAAGGTGTTTAAGATGTCTACTGAACATCCAGTTTGAGCTGTCTGAAAGGTATTCGGGAGATGTGAGATTGGAAGTCAGCAGAGAGACTGAAGCAGGATAGGCAGATTTGAGAATCATCAGCAGAAGTAAGTCCATGGGAGCTGATGAGATCACCAAGTAGTACAGAAGGAGAAGATGACCCAAGCAGGACATGAACCTGTTCATGTCCCTGAGGGAACCCTGAGAGACATCTATGGTTGCTGTCTGGAAGAGGATCCAAAAAAGGAGCAGTCAGTTACATAGGAGAACCAAGAGGGTGGTGCTCTAAAAACCTTGCAAAAAGTGAGTATTAAGAAAGACAGAGTGATCA